ACCAACAACAGTGCAGACAGAAATGCGCCCTGGGTGAGGAGTGATGATGATGATGTTTTGTGTATTGTGCTTGCATAATTTTTTTTTTTTTTTGGTAGTGTTTGCAGAGTTGGGGGATGTTAGTTTTACAGCGTTTTTCCTTACTGTTAGCTGACTGAGACTTTCATGCAGAGTGGTGTGCTGTACTTGGCTTGCAAGCATTTAACAGCCACATCCAGATAAAAGACATTCCCACCTTAAGATCACAGTTCAGTTTGGGGACCAATTCTCACTATTAACTTTTGCCTCAATAAACTTTTAATTTGCTGCTTAATAAAAGTTACTAAGGCAGTTAAGTTTAGATATGAGGTAGGATTAATAGGATTAGCCCTGTCTGTGAAACCAGGCCTTAAACTTACAAACTAAATCAACCTGTAATCTACACTTTTTTTTTTTCTTCTCTGCTTCGTCTTCCTCTTAAAACCGTATGATAGGATGTGCGTCATGCAGAAATCAGTCGTCAATCCTCTTGCCACATCTATTCTGCATTCTTTTTCTGTCTGTTCACACAACCATCTTTTGTAGTTCTGCTGCCATTCCATGAGCATTCATGCCTTTTGTCAACAGTGACCGAATTCAGAGCTAGACTGTGTATACACAAACCCAGAGGCAAAGTAGTGAACCGGAAGTGTATCTCTGCTTTAGGAATCATTCACTAGTAGTGTTTGTCATTGCAAGCATCACCATTGCTCGTACCTATGGTTAGGGATTTGAACAGTCAACAAAAAATTTGAACAAAAAATCCCATGGAAGTATTCTTCAGAATTATTCGGAACTTTTCATTATTGCGATTATGTAAGCATCATGTAAAAGCAGTAGGATTAAGGGATCTAAAACGTGGTCATGCAGAATAAGGCATTAGTATGTGCTTTAAGTACTAAAACAGCCAGTATGATAGTAATATGCATGCTAAGGAACTAGTTAATAGTGAGAACAGGTCCTTAAAATAAAGTGTTACCCACCGTAGTGATAAATACAATGATAAAAAAATAAAAAATCCCATTTCAAATCAGTACATGCAATGACAGACGTCTTATGTTAATAATTGTCGCTCAAAAGTTGTTTAGAAAAACTAATGTTGTCCGATTAGTCCAAACTTATACTCCAAACATATACCCCGGGTTTCACAGACAAGGCTTAAGCCTAGTCCCAGACTAAAACTTAATTCTGAGCTGTTTCAACTGAAAGAAACTTGCACTGATTGATCTTAAAATATATCAATGCCTTTATTTTGTCTCAAGATGGACACTAGTAATGTTTTTTTCTAAGGCATGTTTATAAAAATTACTTAAATGTCCTAATTGAACTAAGACCTAATCCTGGTTTAGTCTAAGCCCTGTCTGTGAAACCAGGCCTTAAACTTACAAACTAAATCAACCTGTAATCTACACTTTTTTTTTTTCTTCTCTGCTTCGTCTTCCTCTTAAAACCGTATGATAGGATGTGCGTCATGCAGAAATCAGTCGTCAATCCTCTTGCCACATCTATTCTGCATTCTTTTTCTGTCTGTTCACACAACCATCTTTTGTAGTTCTGCTGCCATTCCATGAGCATTCATGCCTTTTGTCAACAGTGACCGAATTCAGAGCTAGACTGTGTATACACAAACCCAGAGGCAAAGTAGTGAACCGGAAGTGTATCTTTGCTTTAGGAATCATTCACTAGTAGTGTTTGTCATTGCAAGCATCACCATTGCTCGTACCTAGGGTTAGGGATTTGAACAGTCTGATTTCTTTAAGTGATGAAACAGATGAAAAATCCCATGGAAGTATTCTTCAGAATTATTCGGAACTTTTCATTATTGCGATTATGTAAAAAAGCATTAAAAGCATTAAAGGGATCGTTCACCCAAAAATGAAAATTCTGTCATTAATTACTCACCCTCAAAACCCGTAAAACCCGTAAGACCTTCTTTCATCTTCGGAACACAAATTAAGATTTTTTTGATAGAAT